GAGAAAGTTGGTCATAAATCGCATGACAGTGTTCATTGGTCTATTAACTAGAGTCATGAAGCTATTATCACATAGCACCATAAAATACCAATCTTTCGTGTGTTAGTGACGTATTTCGAGAAACTTGTCCTAATATTTTTACAATTCCATAGAGCGCAATGTTAAACAAAAATTGCATTTTTCATCACTTTTTTAAAACCCAGATTTTTTTTTTTAAATTCAGGAAAACAAGAAGTATCCCATCCGTAACAATATATTATTTTTTCAGCCCATGTCACCAGCCCACAATTTGAGATATGGCATAATATCTCTGTCATAGTAACCTATGGTAAAAGCACTATAATACTGTCAAAATGGCCACTATCCACTAAAATACCACCATCATTTTCTCCAAAATTAACCTGGTGACCCCAAACATTTTTTTTCAGGTCAATATTCTTATATTGTCCAGAAGTACAATTTATTAAAAAAGGAATAAATTCTGAGTATTTGAAATCATGAGTAGGCTTCTACCTTAATATGCGCTTCTGTCAAATGGATATTTATTGTGAACTCGTACTTATTGTGAGCATTTTGAAATGTCACCTTAAATTTTATTTTGATCAAACTGTATAAGTATAAAAAAAATCTTTCGTTTATTTGGATTACACAACTTGGACTGAACACCAGAATACATTACTGTAGAATACTTTAATTTTGCTTGAAATTTATTTTCGCTATTTTCGCTGAAGGGATGTATTCCGTGAAAATAAAATCCAGCGAATATACTTTTTTTCCTATATTTCACATTAAACTCATCAAAAATCAGTGAAAATAAATTCCAGCTAAAATAAAGTATTCAACAGTAACTTATTTTACCACTCGCAGCCAGAAGCTGTGGCTCATTTTTGTGAACCTGTTCTTTAGTTATGTGCACAGATTCCAGTTAAAGATGATTGATAGGCCAACATGAAATGTTCCTTTCACAGAAGACAGTAATAATTGCAATGTCAGCATAATGATCAATGAAACCTACATGTACATTACACATGTGTATACAGTAAAGAATCATGTAAATTTGATACTGGTACTCAGCTTATGTGCTTATGGACTTCAGTGACTTTGCATGATATGTGATGCTGATCAATGTTTCATTTCAAGTTCATTATCTGATTTATCATACCATCTTATTGGTCAAGAACAAAACATTTGCCAAGAAAAACAACTGTTAATTTCTGAGTGTATTTGTTTTGTAATTCATTTCAGTAACATTTGGCCTTACAGTCTAGCAATCGATTTTTGTTGCCACTGCTCATGAATCTTGATGTGCATTTTCAATTGTGTTCGCTAACAAACAGTAGGACATAACTTTGAAGCTGAGACGTTATTAATCATACATGTAGCAGCAATGTGATGTACTATAAACTGGGTTGTATGCAAATTTATAACAATGCTTTGGATTATTGCACAAAGCGTTGAGTTTACTGCGTTAACCTGTTCTACTTGGTGATCTTTGACTCAGGTCTGCAGTGACAGGTCTCCAGTGACAGGTCTCCAGTGACAGGTCTCCAGTGACAGCCCGCCTCCCCTCCCCAGTTTTCCAATAACAATACAAGAGAAATAAAAGCCATCTGTCGTAGTGGAAATACTTTGTTGCTAGATAATTGCAGAGGTTCGTCTAATTTGTTACATGCTAATTATGTTTCTCTCCCCAAAGTGAAGTACACCTGATAATTCACCGCAGATCCTGGATTTTGATTGGTCACCACATCTAGCCATGTGATGAGCATTGCTGAATGCAAATGCATAATAAACAATACATAATAGCAATCAATACCGACTGATAACATGGTAAACATGACAGCAAATTTGCAACACAGGCATAAAACAATCATCACATCACACAAAGCTCTACTCTGGACTTCATTAGCAGGATTCAGTTCTGCCATTACACTGTTAAGAATGAATTGATCTACTTGATCATATTTAGAAGTGTGTTTCATGGACTTGTAAAATAAAAGAAAGAAAAACTCACAACTTTCAGCTTTTTGTTTGATCCAGTAGCACCCACGCCATTTTTACCATTTTTTCTTCTTTTCCGATTTCCCTTTAGGGGTTTTCCAGATTCTTCTGACAATGACGCAGATTCTGTGTTTTTCTTTGATTCCTCTGTGCTAGATTGTTCAAGTTCACTATCCTCAGTACATGTAGTGATAGATTCCTCTTTCTCAGAAAATTCAGTGTTTATTTTAATTTCTTCTTGTTTCTTCGGTACGTCTTCAACAACAACGCGACATGTATTTACCCCACAATCAATCACATCGCCTTGGAGGTCTGTACCAACTTTTTTTGATTTCATAAACACAGTCCTGTCTGCCTTTTTAACATTTTCCGATTCCTTCATAGTTTTAGTTTTTTGTTTTATTTTGGTAACTTCTTTACTTTTCACTTTGCTCTCAATTTGTTCTAACTTTTTACCCTGTTGTCTTTCAAGCTTTGGTTTTACTTCCTTGTGATCAGAATTAAGATTTTTTACGTCATGTAGTTGAGTAGTGGCAGTACAGGTTTTTTCTTCTTTTGGTTCCAGCGAAGCCTTCAAAGCAGTTTCTGGTTCATTTTTCACAGGTTCGCTTTTCATCGGTTCTTCATTGCTGTTGACATTGTTGTTTGTTGTTGTATCTGAACAGAAAATTTCAACAAGGTCAAACATTATCAACACTAAACATAACTTATTTTTGAAGAATCCAGATTTATTTTAAACGTACATGTTGAAATATTCTCCATTTGGCAGGATTACTGATTTTACTAAATATTCTGAATTGCTATTCCAATTGATTGAATTGAATTTAGTTATGTCTAATCTTTTATTTCATGGATTTCATAAAACCTGATAAATAAAAATCATTTTCTATTCTTTATTTAGTCTATTATTTATGCCGGCATGATTAATGTGTGAACAATAATAGGAATGATATGAAAGAGAAGATTTAATATATAAACATGATATATCCCATGATATAAAATTAGCAGTACACTTTGACATTTCAACATGCGATTAGAAAATACAAACAAGCATCTGTGGTAAATACTGCACACATCCCATTTTGCTCTAGGAAAATATTTAATTCCGTTTAAAATCACAATTTAATACCTTACCAGTCTGTGATGAATTACATGGTGGTTCCAAGTTTTCTTGATTCTTTCCTAACATGGTTTTCATCTGGTCATCTGCATACTCCATTGGGAGTGCATTGTCTCTGTTCACTAAATTCAGCAGCGATGGAAAAGTATCAATCAAACATTTTGCTGCCTCCAATGCACCATATTTCATTGCTACATGCAAGGGAGTGTCCTGAAGAAACGGGAAATAAAACATGAATGATTGAATGAATACCTGTTGGAAAGACTAACATTAAAGTAAACCAATGAATACAAGATACAAATCATACTGAAGTAATGCATCAATGCTCAGTGGTAAAAAACTCACTCCTTGGCTATTTGTATGTATAATACTGAGTTCTGATACCCCATACTCTTCTTTCACACAGTTTAAAACTTCATGCAGATATTCAATATCATTGTTCATGGCAGCTATGCTCAGCTCTTCAACCTTGAAAAAAGCAGATAAGATTATAAATCAGAAAACATACAATTCTCCCATTCAATTATAAAAAAAAAAAATTAGCACAATTTTAGCTAGTATGTTACCACCAGACGTGAATCATCTAGGAAGAATGCCATTGGGTATGGTAAGGACTACCACCACAGATAGAAGATCTAGGAATAATATCCCCTGAACGATCTAGAAAGAACATCCCATGTATAAGAAGTGTCAGACTGGAAGGATCAAGGAATAATATTCCTCAGTCAGCAAGCATTACTATCATCAAGATCTGGAAGGAATACCCCAAAGACGTACTGGAACATTAAATTTTAAGTTGCCTTACCTTATCAAATATTGTAACACTTTTGGTGAGCTGTAATTTAATTTCAAATGGATATTTATCATGACTGGTAATATTTTGTCGGAAGAGCTGAGTATGCTGCCAAGCGACACCTCCACTACTAACTCCACCACACATAAATGCAGATAGTACTAGAGATGATGCCCCTTTTAGTTCTTCAAGGTTCATTACTTCTTTGGCTTTAAGGGAAATAAAAAAAAGAACAAGTCATTGAAAGTGACAGTCCCCGTTAAATTTTTGAAAGTTCTCTTTGTGCTCGTCATATTAAAGCGGAAGGGTTGTCGCGAGCGTGTCCTTGAAACTTCCAAGTGGCGTATACAACAGATTGTTTATTTACATCAAAACACGTGTTCCGTGTAGTAGTAATATGGCCAAAAATAAAAACACCTTTTATTCGGCCATCTTTGATCTGATTATGAAACACACTGATATGTATGATGTATGTGCCAAATACGAATGAAAATGGTACATAAATTGTGGAAATATAGTAGTAAGGCCAAAAAGTCAGATGGCTGTCAATCGGCCATCCTTGACCAGATTTTGAAACAAATTGTCATGGACATGCATACTAACATGTATAATCTATGTACCAAGTTTGAATGACAACTGACAAAGCATGACCAAAATACAACATTTTCAAAAAACAAGATGGCTGCCAGTCAGCCGTCTTTGATCCAATTGTGAAATAAATTGTCATGGACATGTATCCTAACATGTATGATCTATGTACTAAATTTGAATAAAAACTGACAAAGCATGTCCAAAATACAACATTTTCAAAAAACAAGATGGCTGCCAGTCGGCCATTTTGAATCGAATCGCTAAACCACTGCATGTGCTTATGTCCCACATAAAGTACTAAGCACATGCAAAGAATGAACGAAATCGGACCAAGGGATTCTGAGATACGACTCTGGACGGACGCACGGAGACCGAATTATAAGTTCCCGTTTTCGGACTGTCCGAATGGGAACTAAAAATTAATATGATAGAAATTACAGGGATACAATTTTAAGGTATGGTATAGATGCAGGGGCACTTGGAATATATATAATTGGCATGCTTTTTTTTCATACTTGTACTCGTTATTTCAGAACTCTTCTACAAGTGGAACATTATCCAAACACCTTTTTGAAATACATGTATAGAAAACAGGGAAATTCACTTCGAATTTGGTATGATTTGCAAGGTTGTACATAAATTTAAAAAAAAAAAATGACGACAGAATTTCCAACTAAGAATGCCTTCTAAATAGATGTATACATGTGCTTTAGTTTTCTATAAAATAAATCTTTTTGAGTGGCAGAGCTCCATACGTGTATTAGTCACTGTTCATATAAAACCATTCAAACTAAACTTGGAACAAGAAAACTTTATTTTATATTGTGATCAGTTAAATGAAGGAATTCAAACTTGAACAGATAAATTTGTAAAACTTACCACCTGTAGGTATTACATAGCGATCAGGATTCATACCATCTTCCAATTTCCACAACACACTTGCACTCTTGTGATGCAATGAGCTGCATGCCAACAAACTGCCACAGTCAAGCTGATAACCACCAAAATCAAACTTCCACGAAATAAAGGAAGTGTCATCTGGTGTTTGGCTATTCTTTCTAGACAAGTAGGCCTATCAAGAAAAGTAAATTTTAACTGGGGACTAATTGAATAGCTGGAGTGGAGTGGAGTACATTTGAGCCTGTTTAAAAAATTCTGTATTATATTTCTGTAAATTAAAATCCTTTTTTCACCAGGATGTACTGTGGAATACTTTATTTTCGCTGGAATTAATTTTCACTGAAAAGGCTTTTAGGGCATTTTGCTAACAATTTATTTTCACTGATTTTTGATGAGTTTAATGTGAAATATAGGAAAAAAAGGATATTCGCTGGATTATATTTTCACGGAATCATCCCTTCAGTAAAAATAGCGAAAATAAATTCCAAGCAAAAATAAAGTATTCTACAGTATTTGATGAAATTTTTCGCAAATGACTATAAATACAGATACATTTGTACATGTGAACAATTATTTTTATAACAGTAAAAATGAATGAATACTGCTATGCTTGCTGTCAAAACATAGACAAAATGATTTACACACGCTCAAAATAAAAACTTTTTTCTTAGAAGAATAGCTAGACTACATTATAATAAGCTGGTATTCAGATGGTAGAACAAGTCATTGTTAATGACAGTCACCATTAGAATTAAGGGAAATGTTATTCATGCTAAAAATAATTAGTAATCAAGAGTGAATAATTGGCTGGTCTCCTATCAAAAGGAATTAGATGTATTAAATGACTCTTCCAAAATCAAAACATATGGTTAGAAATTAAACAGTATATGGTATTCATGCATTTTTTGTATCAAAACTGAATTTCATTTGTCCAGGCTCATGTACAGATATATAAAACACGAAATGCATCATCATGGACATATATCTCAACATGTATAATGTTTGTATCAAATTTGAATGAAATTCAACGAACCATGCCCATGATACAACATTTCCAAAAAACAAGATGGCTGGCAGTCGACTCTCTTTGATGATTGCGAAATGAATTGTCAGACATGTATTCTAACATGTATAATGTAACAAATATGAACAAAAAATGACAGAGTATGCATATAATACCCCATGTTCAAAAATCTTGGATTGAATAAGTAAACC